AGGTTCCGATGAGGGCCCAGGAAGGTAGCCAGTGTTCTGGAATGACCCTGGGGTTCCCACGAGGGCCCAGGAAGGAAGCCAGTGTTCTGCAGCGCATCAGGGGAACTGTTCATTTACAGCAGGTACAACAGAAGAACACTTTTGCTGGTGAAACACGCAGAGCAGGTGGTGGATAACTTACTACATTTACCAGGCACAGTAACCATCATCCCTCTAGTTTATGGTGCAAAGTCACCAAGGGACCCTGATACCCAGCCACTTTCAGCTGAAGAAACAACGTTTGCCTGTTTGTCTTCATGTGTTTCAGGGTGGCAGAGCTAGGGTGGGGAGACGGGATAGATAAAGGAGGCTCAATTAGGTCAGTGCGCTCTACATGTGTGGAAATTCACTGAACCCCTTAATGGGCGTAACAAAAACATGTTGATCCAAAGTAAAAAAGAAAATGAAAAACCAAAGGGAAGCTCAGAAGGAACTTGCAATTCCTCCTCCAGGCCATCAGGGGTCAGCGTGCACCTGCCAGCAGGGCAGTGGGGGTGGAGAGGCAGAAAGGGCAGGGAGGGCCGCGCAGCCTCCTGAAGCCTGCCTTCCCTATGGAGGGTGCACAGGTACAGAGCCTGGGGGTGGAGGGAGCCGGCAGAGACGCCCAGGGACACAGGAGATTTTCTCAAGAGCCTGCTGAGGTGGGACTAGAGGGCAGTGAGGGGAAACCTCATGTTTCCTTTCATGCTGTTTTGAACTCTTTGTTTCCTTGTGTGCTTCACCTTATAGTAAGGACTGATTTTTAAAATGTCTAATAAGAGTTAGAAGGTGTGGGTGACCCAAAAATACTGCCGGAGTGAATTCCAGGTGAGTGACGCCGGGAGCCTCAACCATGGATGAAAAAGAAAGGCTGGTGCAAGGACAGGGTGTTGTTTCCTAAGTCAAAATCCCGTGACCTGGGCCGGCCTGCTGTGACGCAGGCCTGTGACCCCAGTGGCTCAGGAGGCTGAGGAAGGAAGGCTGCAAGTTTAAGGCCAGCCTCCGCAACTTAGCAAGGCCCCAGGTAACAGTGAGACTCTGTTTCAAATTTTAAAAAATATATATGTACGTGTGTGTGTGTGTGTGTGTGTGTGTGTGTGTGTGTGTATTTAAAGAGGCTGGGGATGTAGCTCAGTGGTTAAGCACCCCTGAGTTCAATCCCTGGTAAAAATCACAACAACAACAAAAAATACCTCATGGTCTATTAGGAGAGGTGTGCTGCATCTGAGATCAAACTGAATGTCACCAAGTGATGCTGACTTGGGCTTTGATAAACTGTTTATCCAAAGAGTTTTTTCAGGAAAAGAGGGTGAGAAATGAGGGCTAACAGTACAATTCTAGAATCTCTGGTATATTCTAATGGGAAAATTAATGTCTTAAATAAAATGGACCACATTTAATGTACTTAAGGAAAAATACTTGAGAAAAGTCTAAGAACCCACTGATTCTAGTAGTCCAGCCAAATCTTTACCTAGGGAAGGAATGCAGAAATGCAGTGATTGGCACACGGGGGCAGTGGACTTTATCACCATCCTTCCGAGGACCCCGCTCTGAGTAAGTGGTCCATTCACTCATCTGTCCTTTGACGATTTCTCAGAAACCTCAAGGCTGACGTCTATGCTACCCCCTCTTGTAACTTGTTGCACTGACAAGTTGAAGCTTGCTGTTCAGGCCCCTCTGGTCAGGTGAGTGAAGTGCACTGGTCTGAACAGCGTGGTGAGAAATGCTAGTAACAGGTGTGGAGCCAGGTTGTCTTCTCCCACCTCTGCTGTCACGATTCCTCGGCTCTGGGCAGGTTCCATTCTCGCGTCTAGCGGCAAGGCTGTGTTTCTGAAGGAGCTCATGGGGAAAGCACTAAAGTTGTTCAAGGCACTGAATTATCTTCAAAGACAAAAACGAACTTTTCATTTTCAGAAGCAAGCATCAAAACGTTTCATGGAGCAGCGGTTGCTTCTGGCCTTGCTGACATCCAGCAGGTCTGACTTATTAAACTCAGCTTACATCACAGACTCCACATGAACCTGGGTCGGACGCTTCTCTGGCTCTTCTCCTTCCAACAAGTCAGAGACCAGGTTCACAAGACGAGCAGTGTTTTCAACTTGTCTCATGACAACTAGCATCATGCAGAGCCTGCTGCAGGTTCTGACCCTGAGGTACATGGGCATGCAGACTTGCTGGGCCACAGCCAGCATTCTGGGTTTGTGATAAGCATTCCAGACTGACTCATTGATCAGGCAAGTGCAAGAACCACTGGGTGAGAGAAATAAATACCATGAGGTGGCTGGAACCTGGTGACTTTTAACAACTGGCAGGTGAGTGAGGCGAGAAGCTCAGATTACCCATAACTATGCCCTGCAGGCAGCTAGGACGTTCCTGGACAGGCAGGGAGCCCAGGTGCAAGAGAAAATTGGCTTTGACATCAGCAGCCTTGCAGGGCCGATCCCTGAGTGCCAGGCCCCCTGATGCTGCAGAGCCCACCTCCAGCTGGCAGGGTTCTGGAGCCACTCCCCTCGAGGCGAGGCCGGCAGCAGACTTCCCTGTGAGGCTCTTCTCTCAGGTTCATCACCATAGCCCAGGAGAGGAGCTGTGAAAGAGGGAGCCAGGCCCCCTCTGTCCTGGTCTTCTGCAAACCCAGATGGACTAGAGTGGGTGAAGGGAAGGAGCCACAAGTCAGGGGCTGTCCTCACCCTGCAGTGGGGTACACAAGAAGTGGGAGCTACCTACAGCTCCAGGTAGGAACACAAAGACGATCTGGCCTGATGACATGGGTAACAGCAATCAGAGATGCCTTCATAAGACTCACAGCTGAAGGCCAAAGTATCCCCCAGAATTGGTGCAGGAATTGTGAATCTCTTCATGAAAGCTGAAATTTGAGAGAAATGAAGCCAAAAATTACACAGCTTCACTAATTAGGCTATCCACAGGGATGGGGAAAACCATTGGTCAGAGAATCTTGCAGTTTACCTGTGGAAGACCAGCCCTCTCCCGTCAAATCAAAGTCGAGGTGTATCTCCTCTTCAAATGCAGAGTCACTTGGGATAGTCACCTACATTTGGATGCCCTCGTCCACTTACAGATCCTTCTGGGTAACTTCCCCCTTCACAGTGCTGACCGGGGCTTTCCACACAAATCCAAGGTGTTTTACACACACACACACACACACACACACACACACACACACATATATAGGCTGTGCTCTAAGACTTGTATGAATGATAAAAATCCTTGGATCACCTCAGTTTTTACTGTCAGCTTGTAAACTGCACTGTAGCTGCCCGTGGACCAATGTCAGAGAAACAGAAAAGGGATATGTGTAATTACTTACTGAGTGAGCCATCTGTATCACATTTGTGACACAAACGAATTTAAGGCTGCTGAGGCTCATGATCTACTTCTATCATGCTGCCCATATGACTTTCTTCCCCAGAATCCAAACCCAGTGCTCCTGACTCCTCACAGGCCGCCGGTGCTCCTGACTCCTCACGGGCCCCTGGTGCTCCTGACTCACAGGCCCCCGGTGCTCCTGACTCCTCACAGGCCCCCGGTGCTCCTGACTCACGGGCCCCCAGTGCTCCT